GTTGGCTGGTTGCTTAGGGTCAGTGGCAGGTCATTAAATAACTTCCACGTAACTCAATTGCATGATCCTCTAATATAGAAGAGTATAGACTAAATCTATAAACTGTCAAAAAAAGTGTCTTTCTAAATATTTGTTTCTTTTGAATGCCAAAGTCGGGCATTTACAGAGAAAGTGTTTTATGGTGACTTTTTTCTGCAGGTTTCCAAAACTTCTGTAGGGAGGATTATGAGTAATGCGTAGTATCTTTGCATGGGTTCCTATGCACCAATGGCCAGAAAGAACTGCTGGAAGACATTTAAGGGTACAAGAAGTTCTTAATTTCAAGTGTTAATGTAAAGATTCGCAATGTATTGTCTATTGAATCACGTTTTTGACACTTCAGCCAGCGCGTGATTTTAAACATTAAAATTTCTTCAATCTATGGTTGTAGTTTCACAAAGTTTGCAAGATTAAGATTTAAGTTTTAGTATTTTTTTTTAGTAATTATATCTGATTAATTGAGTAAAAAATTATTTTTAAAAATGAGTATTCGCCAATATTCGAATAGTTTAATTAATTAAAGAACAGTTTTAATGTATTTTGTTACTATTTATTACTTTCTTATAATATTCATATGTAGCTTTTCATAAATGTAATTAAAATTGAATTTGTTAATATTTAATTAAACTGAATAAATGGGACTAAAATATTGATAAAAAAAAATAATTTATATATGTTAAAGTTTCGTATTGACATTGTCAATCGTTTCAGAAATCGGGTGTGAACTATTTTGATATGCGCTAAGAAAAATTAAACAATTAAACTAATAATTAATATTTTTTTAAATAATAAGCGCTTCCTAATGGTTTACTTTATAATTATATATTTGGAATTACTTTTTCTATTCCTTGAGTTTCTTTTTAGTGGAAATTTTCCTTTTTAGAGTTTTCATAATGCTTATGATAAATAATTACACGGCATTTAATTCTGAATAGTAGTATCTTAATTGCTCTATTTCTAACAAAAAATATTAAAACTACCCTTTGAGACCGGAAGTTTAATTATTATGAATTGGCAAATAACGTTTAAATTTTTATAAAAAAATTAGCTTTCCTCTTATAGTGCCAAGCATTTTTCATTTAGTCAACATTTTTCTTTAAGTGGTTCTATTTTTATTTTATTTATTGAGCACTAAGTGCGGTACTCATCTAATATTACTTAATTAAATTATTTAAAAAAATTGTATATTTTGTGACTTTCTTTTGTCGTGTGTTCTTAAATTATACAAAACAATTAATTATTTATTAAAAAATGTTTGAAAATGATAAGTGCATATATATATTATATATATTAATGTTCACTGGTACCATACACTGTACAACCAATGACTATAACGTGTCTACAATCTTAGAACTCATCGGTAGAGAAAGTAATTTCAAAACGATAGGATTACTTAAAAGTAATAAATCGCATTGTTTCGCAGAAGACACATCATTTTGGAAAGGCTCAGATACACCAAAAATTTTGTTAGAGGACAGTAGTTATTTTGTAAGAAAAAAGTTTGGAACCAATATACTATTTATATTATGTTTAAATGGATTGGAGTATACATCTTTAATAAGCCAACTTGCCACCAGTTTGCAACATATGCGATATATCCGCATCGTAATCTTGGTAGAAACAGCTGACGAATATTCTGAAAGTATTAAGCTTATTTTTGAAGAATGTTACCTGCATCACATGCTAAATGTCATAATTTTGGAAAGTAACTATCAAAACACCACACATTTATTTCATAGCTATCGCCCATTTCCTGTTTTGACAGTGATAACGGAAACACTAAATGGAATCTCAAAATTCTCTCGAAAAACCACACCAAATTTGTATGGTGAAAATTTATTAACTTATCCGGATCAGTTATTGCCACGCAGTATACTTTTCATGAATAAAAATGGTGACTTGCAAATGTTGGGCTATGTTGGACGTTTACTTAATACATTCGCTGAAAAACTCAATGCCACACTTAAGTTTGCATATCCAGTGGAGATTGGCAAGCAGGTTTTCTTCACGGAATTGTTGCAAATGACATTAAATCAATCATTGGATATACCAGTCAGCATTGCATCGCTAAGTGAAGTCGGCGACTTAGAAAGTTATACTCAATTTATTGAAATATCCAAATGGTTTCCCATTATGCCCGTTCCGAAACATGTCCCATATTACGATATATATGCTTTATTATTCAATACAAAACTTGGACTCATCAGTTTATGCTTTTATATAATATTTTCTCTTTCATTTAGAATAGAAAAATTTTTATTTTCCAAAAATACTTATTTCAAAAACTATTTTAATATCAGTCTTAATGTTGATATAATACTAGCACTAACATATAATTCCTTTCCGAAATTGTATATTCATTCTATTTATGGACGCATACTACAATTAATGCTAGTGTTGGCGGGTTTCACTATCAATACTATGCTTGGAATACATTTATTCAGTTTTTTGACTCAACCTCCATTGGAACAGCAAATAAATAGCTTCGACGATATAAAACGTAGTAATCTTAAAGTGTTAATGTCCAGATCTGGTTCGAAATTATTAAACTTGTATGCAGGCGAAGATTTTGTGCGGAAGTATGGTAATGTTATTACTTTAATAGATCATAATGAATATGTTAAATTACGCAATAGTTTCAATAACACTGAAATGGCTTATGCAGCTACCACTTCAGCTTGGTTCATACTCGAGAAACAGCAAAATTATTTCTCACAAAAAGTATTTCGTATCTCACCCGATTTGTACTTCAGTAACTTAATGATATATGCTATACCGTTGCCAGTTAATTCGATATATGAAGAAAGCCTTAATCAATTGATAGGTTTATTGCAAAGTTCGGGTATTTTTATGCATTGGTTTCAGTCTTCATTTTTTGACATGGTTTCTGGTGGATTGATGTCTTTCAAGGACTTAAACATAAACAAGCAATTCGAACCTTTACGTGCGGTGGATTTATATTATATTTGGGTAATGACTTTCGTTGGATTAGGTTTCGCCATTATTGTTTTCGCTATAGAATGCCTTATTAAGGTTTTAAAAAAATTTAAATAAAAATAATATATTCTATGTAATTTGTTTAGTATAAATAAATTGTATTTTGTTACACTAATTGCACCATGGACTTACAAAACATGTAGTTTGTTATTATAATATTCACGAAAAATTTTACACAGATTTTTATATTTGCTATATATTTAATTCATCTGTATATATTTATTTGAAGAATAAAACTGTTCACGAAATATTTATAAAAATAATAAATCTTATTAAACACAAGTACAATTTTTACTGTTTAATATCAAGTTAATGAAATATCTTTCGTGATTGCTTGAACTACAGACGCCAAGTTAATGAGAAGCAATAATATAGCTAGAATCGATACGTATCAACAAACGTATCATTTGGTATAAATTGTACAACTCCCTATTAAACTGTACTTGGCCCTTATATATAAAGTCTCAATGCTTAGCTCTTTATGTGGAGGAGCTGACTCAATATCCCTTAATTTAAAAATTTAAGAAGCTTGACAGCAGAGTAAACTCATAAGTGATTGTGTCTCTACTTTTTCCTTACTAATATACTCTTCCTGAATTTACAGCAATAAAATGTTCACATTTTGGATTATGAGAACTTACTGTATATAGTTCTAATTACTATATTTTAATTTTTAAATTACGTTTTGTTTATTAAAATGATTTTTATGATACTTTGATTACTGAGTACTCGACGTAAATTATTTTCAATTCCTCCCTTAGAGATAGTTTTAGTGGGTTCAAGTCCTATACTATTTACAACCTACCGCACGACTTTGTAGAAGTTTTCTAGAAGCGATTTAATAAGCGAGTTTGCAAGAATATTAGTATGTTAAATTACAAAATATGTTTATTAAGTCAATAGCAATAGCATTGCAGATAGTGCATTCACGTTAGGACTTGAATCCACTAAAATATATCTAAGAAATAATCTTAAAAAGTAGCAGTGGAAATCACTATATAAACAATATAAACATAATAATAATAATATTAATAAGAAGGATATTAAGAAGAAGGATAAGCATTATTCATTCATTGAAGGTACCTACAAGCCTGACACTTAGTAAGATATATACCAGTGAATGAAAAGCTTGAATAATTTATTATATATTTAGAATGTTTTTTTATGAATGTATAATAAAGTTAATAATTTACAAAAAATTATATCGGAATGATCTGTTAAAATCAAATAATAATATTTGACAGTTCGATGGGTTTTAATGTATATTCCGATATTTCAGCACAAGTGCCTATTTTCAATCCTTCAGATATTAAGTTTTCAATTTCGTATAAAAATTCCCTTTGCTATTTACGACTAGTTTTCATTGCTTTTGGCTTTGATTTTATAGAACTAATACATAACTCCAATAAAAAGGCTACTATGCTTAATATATAACCACATCCAATAAATATCCATACCCATTTTAAATCTCTAGTTCTTAGATTCTGATATGATTCCATTCTGATTCCTTCAGCGATAGCAATTTTGTGTGCTGACAGCATCTCCCGAAATGTGCTTCTATACCAATATTGTAATAGACCTGCATCGTGCACCTTATGTATATAATGATCAAATGATTCTTTAAGTATGGAATTCTCTTGCAGTGGAACGCACAAATGAAGCATTTCAATAATTATCATTGCTTCGGGAGCATGAAAAAGTGCACGTGCAAAAAATAGTTGTTGTTGTTCAATAAATTTCCACATCGATGTTGGAACTGTGTAAGCATGTGAGGTTCTCAGATTTTTGCGTTGATTTTGAAAAGTTAATGTGTCTCTTATATCCATTAAATCTCGTATTTTATCAAATTGTTCCTGTCCTCTAGAATAACTGACTATTTTAACTTCAGTTTCATCAACCATAATATCCACTTTCGCTTTCCTTAGGTCATCGAATGACAAAATTTGTGGCAGCGAGGGATGGCTTGTGATGAGTGTTTTTAAATGAGCTGCATAGAGTGTGTTCAATGTCAAACCTAGTAAAAAAAGTGACATATATAAACACCTTTGTGATGGTTTGGGTTGAGTGTGAAACATATATGATTGTCCTAAAATTCCAGGTAGGACTTTATCGTTTAGTATTAAATTGATGTATCTGATTTTAATTTGTCTTCCGATTTTTGAAAATATTTCGCTATCGATAATTGTAAATAGCACTGAGAAACTGAAAACTAGAATTGTCAGTACAATAATTAGTTTTTTTCCGATAATCATGAGATATATATCAGATGTTGAGAGTACACCCATAGTTGGCACCATTATGTACCACGAAGTAAGCTCAAGCGGATACGACATTTCGTAAAGATAATGATTTTTAAAAATACCCAGTATACTTATGGGTAAATCTAAAGACCGGTTTTCTGTAAAAGATTTTATAATATTTGCGTGAATAATTTGTCCAACTTGTATAGGAAAAAGAAACTGTAGTGAAGCGTTGCTTTTTTTAGCGTATGATTGTATTAGTTTTGCTACATGCCCAGTTATTTTCTGTTTCCCATGGTGATCCATATACAATACGCTACGTGGTTCAAGCTGGTCTGGTAAAGTATACAAAACCTTGCCTTGAAAATTTTGCCAATGTTTTGGAAATATATTTGATATTTTAATAAATGATTGCAGGACTATGTTATATGAAGGATATGGAGTAATTATATAAAAAAGTTTCTCATTCATTAATATATCAAATATTATAATTACATTTGTTAATTGATGCTTTTCGCTGAATTTCATGAGTGGTTCACATAAATCTTGTTGTTTGCCAAAATCTTTTGCTAATACAATGATGCGTGTGTATCGCATATGATTCAGAATTTTTGCCAGTGTCTCAAGTTGCAGTAGATCAAATTCTTGCTGAAGACATACAAATGCCAAAACTTCGCTATTGAATTTTTGCCTTAATTCAAAAGCATTTTTACTGTCCAAAATCCACTTTGGTTGTTCCAATATATTCGGTAAATTTTCTACGAAACAGTCTTGTGGTGTGTTTCGTAGTATAAGAATACTTTCGAAATACTGCTCCCACTGAATCTGAATTATCCATTTTTTCAACAATTGCTCCAAAATATTTTCTTTCTCTTGAGAGATTAGTTTTGCAGTTACCAAACCGAGTAGAAGTAACCGAATGAATAGTTTTATTAGTAACATACTTGCTGGAATGTATGCATTTACTGATGGAAAAAATTCAGTTCTGCCACATTATTTAGAATTAATGATAAATAAAATGCATTTAAGTCAGTTATGTCTTAAATTAAAATCATGTAATTACTTAAAAAATAATTTCCGATATCTACAGGTCTGTCATTAACTTTGAACCCATTAGTGTCACACATCAATTTGGATTCGGTGTCAAATGCAATTGAATGGTTTCTGGTTATTAATAACTGGTAACCTACATTGGACGAATGAAATGAAGCAAATATAGAAATGTTGATTAATAGATTAATAGTTTAGATATTTAACAATAACAAAGACAAAATTTACACATTTTAAATAGATTTTTAATAAAGTTTATTGAAAATATAAAAAAATAATATTATTTCTAAAAGTAATTTGTAAATGTTATGGTAATGCGCTATTTGTGAAAATTAAAATTAATTTAATCGATTTAATCACTTAAAATATATTTTGCAAAGTCGTTGACAAATTAAGTTTGATTTTAAGATTAAGTAAAATTTCGTAGGAGTTATTATATGATTATTATGAAGGATTAATATGAAGCAATATATCGATGAAGCAGTTTTAATGTACAAAACTATTTTTGGCTGTAAAATGCATTCCAAAAACAATAAATTAATAAATAATAGAGAGGGAAACAGAAATAATTGAAAGAATATAATTATGATAACCTATTCCAAATTAAAAAAGGTTTCGGCAAATACTTTACTCAATATGGATACAAATAACTCAAGCGATATTTTGCTAACAATAACTCTCGATTTATTTTTGTAAAATTATTTTCTTTCTATTTTTTAGTGCTGTTATATAACATATTTGTGAAATTAACTTGTTTGTTA